TGGAGGAGAGCCTAGGGGCAGGGGCTGGAGTTTAGGGGCCCAGTCTCCCCCATCTCAAGGGGGCCTGAGGCATCCTAGCCCAGCTCTGTGACCAGATTCCATCTGTGCTGTGCTGTATCCTGGAGAGGCAATAAACTTCCTCTATTCCACTGGCTGGGGGGGTCTTCCTCTATTCCACTGGCTGGTGCAGTCTGTTTGTGCCATTTTGGGGTGCAGGAGACGGGGGACCCCCAACGCGCCGTCACAGGGGGACAGCAAACCTTTCTGCTGCAGAAGGAGCTACGCTCCAGAACCTGCATCAGCTGGGCTCAAGGCTACCTCTGAAGGAAGGTGTCCCTGTCCGTGGCCTGTCGAAGCGGGGAGCGGCTCTACAACCCCCAAATCTGGATGTGGCGACTGAGGCCACGGTAAAAGACTTTGCATCTAACTGCGAGTTTCCAGACCCCTCATTGCCTCGATCCTGCCCGCCTGGGGCGGGGCGGGGGGAGAGCTCAGACTTCTCCCAGGCAGGAAAGGGAGGGCGAGCGGGTAAGTGATGCCGCAGGATGGGGGCAACGTGTTTGCCCCTCAATCCTCCAGGCTTGGCAGCCCGGGATGCAGCTCGCCTCCCCAGGCCGCCCAAGACCCCGAGAAGGAATGTCCCAAGTCCCTGTAGCACCAGCCGTGCCTCAGGTTTCCAGGTGTCCGGTTTTCGCCCAGACAGTCCAGTATTTGTGGCCTCATGTCAAATGTCCGGTGAGGACATTCTTCCCCCGGCGGGTCTGGCGGGAACGGGGGGATTTAAAGGCACAGTGCCTTTTTTTCCCCTCAACCAATAACTTTGATCCCCTGTTTTTTTTCTCAGCCAATTCCCCCCCGCCATGTTCGGTATTTTGTATGAAAGTATCTGGCAACCCTGTGCCCGGCACTCTGGGGGAGCCGCACCAAAGCCACATGCTCCGGGGAGGACGGGGATGGACAAGTGCACAGTCCTGTCAATCAAAAGTTCCCGGAGGGGGGGG